AGTGGTCAATTGTGATCAATTAGATCAGGGGTGGGCAACTATGGCCCCTTTATGACTTGAGGACTTCAACTCCCAAAATCCCTGAGCTAGCATGGCTTGCTCAGGAATTCTGGGAGTTGAAGTCCATAATTCATAAAAGGGCCATAGTTGCCCACCCCTGATCTAATTGATCACAATTGACCACTTAAGGAGGCTATTAACAGCATATGTCAAAGGTGTGGATTTGAGGTTTTTACATTCCCAGAGAGGTATGTTTCATTCCCATGGGGTGAAATGTATCAATAGATGGACAATAGGAGAAGAGCTAGGGAGAGATTTGTCTTTTGCAGGAAAGATGTGAATCTCAGAGAGTTTTACATTGCAGTTACTCCACTTCTAAGAATCTTAAAGGTACAGGGCATTTTTCTGTATTTTGTAGAATTTTCTTCCCATGTCTCTTGTGATGTGCTAGGAACTTCTTCCCAGATCTTTAACTTTAATCAAAGAATAAAAGTCTGCTTTCTTTGATTTGCAAGCCTCCATTTAAGTCTTTGTTTTGGTTCATTTTTGGCAAGTGTCCTGCCAGACCTTACAGTGCCTCTAACAGAGAGGAAAATTGGCAGAGGAGTTTATTAGGACAAGGCTGCCATGCAGAGGAAGCAGAGATAGTCCTTCACTTATGACCACAATTGAGCCCAAAATTTTGGTTGCTAAGCAAGAACGTTGTTAAGTAAGTTTCACCATATTTTACTCAATCCATGACATCTCCTGGGTCTAATGGTCATATGCAGGCTAGGGAAGTAAATCTGAAGACGCGTGCAATGTTCTAATGTACAGAAGTTATAGTTAAATGTGTGGCAGAAAGTGAACTATGGGTGTGTTTTTCCAAACGCAGTGAGGTTGAATGTATATAGTTTTAGAAGAACTCTGTGTGTGGTTGTGAGTGTGTACATACACACAGTATATATAGTAGATAGAGTATCTTTTTGTGTGCATGTAATATGTATATACACATATGGCATATATACATAGGATTAAATAGTGTATTTTGGATGTTCAATAGTAGTAAATAAATAGAGAGGGAAATTGTATCTCTGAGGCGAGGAGAGGGCAGGAAAGGCATCCTTGACGTGAGTGATGTCAAGTTGGCCATTCCCACCCAGTCACATGACCACCCAGCATGCCCACCCAGCCACATGACCACCAAGCCATGCCCACCCAGTCACATGACCACCAAGCCATGCCCACCAAATAAGCCACGCCCACAGAACAGGTAGTAAAAAAATTTGAATCCCACCTCTGCTATAACTGATTCTATCTTGTATATACCAAACCTGCACAGCATGCAAAAAAGTGTGCCACAATTAGGAATCTCCATGTCCTTGGTTTGTATTATGTACTTTCCTTGAACAATTAACTAGTTAGAAATTCTAGGAAGTAGTAAAATGTAATACTTTTACACTGTAGCATAGTTTATGGAGAATCCTCAAACCCTTGTAGAAGTTTCAATAATCACACTGAAACGACAAAACTAACCAGAAATAAACATATTATATCTTAAACATTGTAATTCTTTGTGGCTATTCTGCTATTTGCAATATCTGCTTGATCTCCACAGAAGTCGTTAAAGGGAAAGTCAACAAAATAAAAGTATCGTTTATGTATAACCATTTTTGATTAATGATGACAGGTCTTATTTAAGCAAGACCTTGGATTCCCCCCCCCAAAAAAAGACCCTTATTTATGTTTTTCTTTCCAGGCTGGTCGCCAGAAATTGTGGAACTGTGTAAGAAGTATTGGAATGATACCGTGGTTGCTATAGATTTAGCTGGAAATGAATCAGTTTCTGCAGCCTGTTCAGACCACCGAAATGCTTATGAAGTATGTTCAGTTTTATAATCAGCCTAAGATTCTCAGCAAGGGAGGAGTTCAGGACCAACCATGTTCTTATTTTCAGCAATATTTAATGTTCCAAATCATTGTTCAGATCAAAATTTCTATTTTCCTGTGTGTAATACTAGAACACAATATCCATTATTTCAATTACAAGGAATGTTTCAGCCTCAAATGGAAAAATATCTGGTTAAAACCGAGGAAAGGATTTATATGATCACTCCTATGTTTTAGACTTCCCTTCTATTTATGTCTCTTGCTGATTCGTTTTAGGGTTGTGTTTGTTTAAAAATGATTTGGAAGAAATCCTTTGGCTTTCACATGCCTTTATTTCCTTTTATTCCTTGAAACAGCCTGACTTTTCCAGATTTTGGCAGAGCCTGAAGAAAAGCTCTAATGTTTTTTGGTCACATTATTTTTAATGAAAAATAATATTTTCCAAGTTTGCATAGCCTTAGTACATATATCATCAGTAAGAACCTGGGACAAGCCTAATCTTGTGAACTGGGAGGAGTAGAGTTTGTTTTTTTATTCAAAATTACTTTCCCACATTTGAGAAGAATCTATTTATCATTCTAAGTAATGATTACTCAGGGTTAGACAACCATCCTATCAAAACACTTCCTTTACATAAAATGTTTTCATGTGGCCTTCATGGCATGCAGTATCCTGTGTATATTTCTTGCAGAGAAAAATTGAATTACACATTATTTTTTTATTTATTAGTTTCCAACAGTACTAAAAATATCAATCTTCTTTCATTTTCATCCTAATGTGCTGATATTTTCTGCTATGAACTATCAAATTTAGAAGCAGGAGACCTGAGTTCAAGGTCCACTTTAGCCAGAAAAGCCAGCTGGGTGCCTCTGGGCCAGGCACTCTCTCTTAGCCCAATCCACCTTATTTGGTGGTTGTTGCAAGGAAAATAGTCCTCAACTTACAACAGTTCATTTAGTGACCACTCAAAGTTAACAGCAGGACTGAAACCAGTGACTTATGACTGTTTTTCATACTGAAGCTGGAATAGTACTTTAGGGAGATGCTGTCTGCTTCATTTCAGAAAAGCTGTAGAAACCATTCTACACAAGCCCTCTTGAGTGGTGGTAAAATCCTTATGATTTCAAATGGTTCATTATTTGAACTATTTCTATTTCATCCTTTTAGTTTTTGATCGGGAAAGGCTTCCAAGGTCACTTAGAATCCACCCTTGTATTTATAATCTAAAAAGATATGACCTTAATGAAACATAATGGGCTTTGATTTATAGAGAAGGAAAATAGAACTGTAATGGAATCAAAATTATAGATTTTCTTATCCCAGTTGCCTTCAAAACAATTCAAATTGCTGGTTTTCTAGCCGAGCTGAGAATAGGTCCAGCTTAATTTTTCTTTCCTTCCCACTCTTTGGTTTGGGCAACAGGGAAGAGACAAACCAATGACTATCCCAAGAATTTATGTCTCTTAATGCAAAATTGCCTGTGTTTATGAAGAACTTTAAATTTCATTAGTGAGCCTTACTCAAGACTACACAAATACCGTGTTTCTCCAACAATACGGCCTCCCCCAATAGGAAGTCCCAGCATGTTTTATTGGCATAAAATCAAATTAAGCCCCCCCCCCCAAATTAAGGCCTATATTAAACATACGAAATGGGGGGGAATGGTGGGGGGGGGGCTTGCCGTTAGGAAGTACTTCTGTTGCATACCCGGATATGGTGCTGCCTGCGTTGACTTTGACGTTGGTGGGGCACTTCATATCAGGAGACCTTCCACCACTGTTGCTTTCCCTTTTCCCCATGCTGCCGCGGCATTTAGAGCACCACCATGGCATTTGGCGCAGCCACGTGCGGCCAGCCAGGGCTCCTCCCTGCAACCGGAGCCCGGCGGAGACACTCGGCTTCAGGCGCTCCTGTCGCCTCCTTCCCTTCGCATTCAAAGGCAAAGCCAATTCTTTTAAAAATGACACCCTACTACCAGTACAACAAAGCCTCCCCTGCCCGAAAGGGCAGCCCAACCCCATGTGGAGAGGCTGCCTGAGGCAGTGATAGTGCCCACCCATCCGTGGACAGGGAGGCAAGGTGACGCGTCCTCCTCCGAGCTGAGCCCCGCTGAGTCAGTGCCTCTGCCCGATGCCTGTGCTGCTGCAGCATTTGGAGCTGCCGGCGCATTTGGAAATGCGTGGGGATGGGGACAGGCTGGACGAGGGGTGGAAAGGAAGGGCGGCTTCGGGCTCTCTCCGCCAGACCCGCCAGCCAGGGAAGCAGTGCTGCCATCGCCTCGCCTCCCTGTCCGTGGACGGGTGGGTGCTATCACTGCCTCGGGCAGCCTCTCCCGGTGGCCCCTTCAGGTTCGGGCTGGAGGGACTTGGGAAGGAAGCCAAGCTCAGGTCGGCCAGGCTCATTTGCTTGGCAGGTGGGCGCGCACCCGCGGCTTGCTTTCCCGGCTCTGCCCAGCCTGCACGGCTCTGGCGCAGCCTTGGGATGAGCGGAGGGCCCGGCGGGGAGACACTCGCTGCCTTGGCGAGAGCTCCACCGCCAGGCAGGAGAGCCTGCCTGTCAGGTGCGGTGGGCGCCCCGGGCAAAGCTCTTCACACTCTGCCCGGCGCCAGGCAAGGATGGTGGCTGGGCGCTTCTCCCGGGGTGGGCCGATCCTGCGCTGTGGCCCTGGGAGATTCGCCTCCCCACGTAGGGTTGGGTTGCCCTCTCGGGCAGGGAAGGCTTAGTCGTACCAGTAGTAGGGTGTCGTTTTTAAAAGAATTGGCTTTGCCTTCAAAGGCAAAGGGAAGGCGGCAACAGGAGCGCCTGAAGCCGAGTGTCTCTGCCAGGCTCCGGTTGCAGGGAGAAGCCCTGGCTGGCCACGTGTGGCTGCACCAAACACCGCGGCGTTGCTCTAAACGCCGCGGCAGCACGGGAGAAGGGAAAGCAACGGTGGTGGAAGGTCTCCCGATATGAAGTGCCCCACCAACGCCGAGGTCAACATCAAGCCGTCACTGCTTGCCCACCCAAGGATGCAAGGTGGGGGGGAATTAAGTCACCTCCGAAAAGACGGCCTAGCCATTTTTTCGGGGGTCAAAAAAAAAATAAGGCCTGGCCTTATTTTGTGAGACACATGGTAGGATTACACAAATAGATACAGAAACAAGTTTTGATTTAAATCAATATTTGTCTGGCTTTTACATCTAATTGAATTAAACACATTTCCTCATTTTTCATTAAGACTGTTCAGTTTGAATTAACCATAGTTCTCAATTAAGTACCGACATTCAATAAATTCATTACAATTTGTGAAAAAATGGGAGGTGTATATTTTGCCTTAAGATATTTTTAACAGTATTTTGAAGGATGCAATAATGCATCAATCAGAGTGCAAAAAATGCTTATACATCTTCTGTATATTTTCCTGCAACTGACATAGTTCATAATAATATTTCTAGCTTATTGATGACAGAGAAGCTCAGAAATATTGTGCCAGATGATTGGAAAATAGCAATAACAGTTCAGCTATAGAAACTTGGGTTTCTATGTATTAATACTATAATAGTATAACTTCTTTATGTATCTTATTAAGCAACTGGTAATTTTTTTTAAAATGATTATTAATATATACAGTATGTACTTGCATGGCCTTTTATTAGTAATCTTATTCTTGGTATCTATTCTTCAGTATATGTATATATAAGAATATGACTGGGTTAAAAATTCATGCATAAAATTTGTTACTATAATACACACACAGAAACACAAACACACACGGTGTACCAAAAATCTGACCCCATAGAAAGTTCATTATATAAATTACATTAAACATTTGAATTCATTGCCGTCTTCTTTTAAATACTTCCCAACTTGTTTGATGCATGATCTTTGAACATTCCTAAGAGCAATAACTGTTTTTCTTTAAATAATAATAATAATAATAATTTGAGTGGCCTATGGAGCCTGGGTTTTTAGTACACCATATATATGTATATACTTATATATGTACATAAGAATGTGTCTTTGTGTGTGAAACTATCAACATTCTGAGCTTTGCATTCATTTTAATAATCATTTTTCCCCTTTAAGAGCAAAAACAGTTCTAAGTAGGATGTATTTGTTTGGCAATTCCACGTTCACACAGAATATGAATTAGCAGATACCTTCCTCAAAATGTGTTGTTTTCTTCAAAAATTGCAAATTACAGTTTCTATTTCCTGTTGCTCAGGAAGCTGAAAGATGTGGTATTCATCGGACTGTTCATGCCGGAGAGGTTGGAACATCCCAAGTCATCAAAGAGGTAGGAAATTATACCATAGAACTTGGGTGTCATCTGGAAAGCTGCCACGTAGAACTAATATACAAAATTGTAAAATTCTGTAAGGACTGCTTAACAAAAAAAAAAGTTTTCAATTTATTTTAGAAGAGGTTAAAGATAAGAAGAGGTAATTTAAATACTCCTTTTGTTATAGCATCAGTAATTAGGATAGTTTTGCAAAACATCTTGTCCGGCAAAAAATTCAATATTTGTCCCAAATTGTTTCTTAATCATTAATTAAGTAGCACCTCTTCATTTCCACTCATTATTCTACTTACTGTTAAAATTGTGCTTTTTAAAAAAAATTAAATAATATATTCTGATTTTCTAGGATCAGACTGCAAATAATGTTGCCATTATTTTCTGTTATACAAAGGTTACTTTACAGAACACTGTAGCTCAATTCTTTTCTGTCAAAATATGAATTAGAAAAATCCAGCTATACAGGACAAAGCAAACTATAAATGCCCAAATCCTACAGGCATAAACAAAAGGAGAGCTCTATTACTTACAATGTTAGACCTTTTTTTGAAATCAGTTAATGGTTTCCATCAGTTTTAAACTATTCAAGCTTTGCTGTGCTTTCTCTTAAGTTTATGCGAAAGTGATTTGAGGTTATAGTGTGGAGAATAAACTCTTTATCATTTGAGAATTCCTACATAAGAGAAATTCAGGTTTAGTCAGAAAAAAAATGAGTATGGGAATGATATTAGAAGAAAGTAATATGTAAATCTAAGTCATGATCATATATTGATAAACTGTACTCTTGAATTACTATAAATGTATCTACACTGTACTTTATAATTTTGTGCTAGATATTCATTAAACACCATCCAACTTTGTTGTTTTAGCCTAATCTGCAGATAGTCATTTCTTCCTATTTTCTCCACTTATATCACTATAGGCAGTCAACATTCTTAAGGCAGAACGAATTGGCCATGGCTACCACATCTTTGAGGATGAACAGCTTTACAAACAGTTGTTGGAAAAAAATATACATTTTGAGGTAATAGAATATCTTCTGCAAATCTCTGTATGTACTTCCTTAACAATTTTTAAAGACAAAAATAATTGTTTTATACCGAGTCAGAACGCTAGTCAATCTGCTTTTCTCTACTTTTTTCTGCCTTTCTTAGAAATGCTATAGCTTGAATGAGGAACTTTTGAAATAAAATCCTGTGATATTACTCTGATTAGTATAAAATGTATTTTGCGTACAGCATGCATATCATCAGTCTTCATAAAAGAAAAAACTTCTAAGCCTTTATTTTTAAAAAAATCAACTTTAAGTTTCAAAAAAGATAAAATACAAGTTAAAAAAGAAAACATTAAAAGAAAGAGGAGGGAATTAAAGAGGGGGGAATTAAAAAGTGTCAAAAGGAAAAGAACATAAAAATATTTTCAACCTTCTTCAGTACAAATATATAATATAGTAACTTCTTACTCTAAATTATAACAAAAGCATCATAAACAATACATAAACTAAATAATCCAAATTTCCCCAAAACCACAGAACAAAATGACTACTTATTCTAAATTTAACCATAGATCTTAAAAATATACAATCTATATATTGAATAATTATAATATGCCAATATTTCTATAATCATAACATTTCTAATTAACAAACACTAAAGCTTCATTTTTATCTTTCTCAAGCAAAAAATTCAAAAGTGGACTCAAATAGAAACCAAGTAAAAAAACCTTTTATCTTCCATTAAAGCAGTCAATTTTGTCATTTTTGCCAGTTCCATTAGTTTTGCAATCCACTCTTTATTTGTGGGCAAATAAGAAATAAGGTTAAATAAGTAAATAGTGAAAATAGCAAGTGGACAAATTTGGACATAGTTCTGTGATTCTGGGAGGCTCAATGAGTACCAAACAAATTTTTTTCATAAGGAATAATGTAGTGAATCATAAGGCAGCTAACACTGAAAAGTTCTAACTTGTGCATTCAGTACCAAACAAATGAGGAATTTGGTACTCAAATTTTTGCGTCAAAATGCGTTGAGTACCAAATTTGATGAGTTTCAAAGCGGTTGAATACCAAGGTCCTCCTGTATTATGTAAAGGGTGTGAGGGTTTCTGTTCATTTAGAGATTCTTTGGCGCCTACACCTTGACAGGGTGTGTGTAAACTTTTGGATGCTTGCATTATGTACAAGAAATACATAATGCAAGCCTGATCCTTATTTGTCACACTGCAGGTTATAAATATACTGTCCTATGTGTAACCTGATTGCTTAATGAAAGAAAACTATATTCATATTTCATGTCTTATTGTTTTGCTTTTGGGGATATCACTGAAGTGTATCTGTGTCTACAGTTTGATACCAAGAGACAAGTCCATATGTTAGAGCCATCATATATAACTAGAATGATAAGATGGCTATCAGATCCATACTGTTGCATTTTACTGCAAATAAAAGGTGTAAATGAACTCTTTTAACAAACATGATTTGGTTCTTGGTCTGTATCTGACTGATCTCAAATCTTTGAATTAACTATCCTTTAACTGGCATTAATTAATTATTCTTTTTACGACTGACAACAGTTCATTCTTAATTAGATAGGTGTAGTTTATTCCATAATCTTTCCATGAAGAGTCTGTAGAAATAGTCTGCAGAGGTACAGATTAATAATAACAAATGCATCATGTGCATTTTTCAGTTCAGATGTTCACTTTACATGAAGTGGTTCAGATGATTTTATAAGCAATATTTCAGGATGAACAAAAATGGATTATTTGGTCTGAATCTATACATAGAATTACTCTTAGCTGTTATGAGCTTTTTATAGAAACATTCTCAAGTAACATTTTCATGTTATTATTTTAATAAATATTTATTCACCTAAAACACTTTAAAAGAGACCTGTATTGAGCATCTTTATTATATATATAGCTCTGTCCTTGGTCCAGTCGTCTCACTGGAGCCTGTAAAACCAGATTCGAAGAACATCCTGTAATAAGGTAAGTATTGTTGCTACTGGTATTACTATAATTATTTCAAATAAATTATACTTCAGCTCACTTATGTTTCCTTTGGATTACTTTTTGAATTTGCAAGAAACCCTGTTATAAAATATTTTGAAAAGCTAGCAGCACCGTTTTAGGTTTTGGTAAATGTGTAGCAAAATGCGGTATACTATATTTCTATCCATGGATAATAAATCATTTAACATTTCCATTTTTGTCTTTCCAGATTTATGAAGGATGGTGCAAATTATTCCTTGAATACAGATGATCCACTCATTTTCGGATCCACAATTGACACAGACTACAGAATCGCTCGAGACTACATGGAATTTACAGAAGAGGAATTCAAGAAATTGGTAAGTTGGTCTGCTTTTCACATTGGCAATACTTTGCCCTTCTTGTAATGTCTGGCTTGTTTTGATCCGTTTGTGTTAAAGTAAATCTTCCTAATAAATTGATATTACAGGTGTAGACATGGTTAATCTTTTCAGGTTTTTTAGAAATGGAAATATAGGCACCAATCATGGTGGTCACATCAAGACCATACTGTGGAGAACAGAAGGGACATTTTATCCTACTCCCATTTGTAGACAAATGCTAATATTCTTATTATCATTTAAATACATCATTCAGGCAATGGCTTCTTATGTAATCATGCCCGTTGTGGCAAGATATTTCTTAGTAAATAGCCACTTCTGAATGCCATATGAACCTTCATGTATTCACAAATACTGTCAGCTGAAAACTTGAATTAAAAAAAAAATCTCACAATTCTCTGGGATATAGTTACTCCTAATCTGAAATACTTAAGAAATTGGAATTAATTAAGAAATTAATGCTCAGAAAATTATGTAGGCTCATTAATACACTATTGTTCCTTATTAATTTCAGATGACATTATACTTCATTGTGGTCATTTTCGTTGTCTTTTGACTTGATGTGTGGGTTGGATTTTTTTTCTTTTTTGCTTCCTTAAAATATTTTCATTGATAATCCTCAGATTTTTGTTCTAGCCCAGCAATCATATCTTATTTCTGATAAATCTGTGCATATTCACAGACATTTTGTTTTGGTATATTGGATTGTTTTTTCAAAAAGAAAATTAGTTATTAGTTTTCCATGGCTCTTTGCAATTTATATGGCTTTCTACAATAGATGAAAGGTTAAGTTTGACCCCAATTTGATTGATTTCAAAATTAAAAAATGTAACTTGTTAACATCATATCTTAACTTTATTTTAAATCATTTAACTCAAGTTTGTAGGTTGGTACAACACACTGAACTATAAGCATATGCATAGGTGTTGTGCAATGTAATAGGCTAAAATAGCAATAGCAATAGCACTGAGACTTACATACCGATTCACAGTGCTTTACAAGCCTCCTTAAACAGTTTACAGAGTCAGCATATTATCCCCCCCCCCCAACAATTTTACCTACCTAGGAAGGATGGAAGATTGAGTCAACCTTGATCTGATCAGGATTGACTGCTAGCAGTCAGCAGAATTAGCCTTAGCAGTGCGCCCCCACACTGAACCAAAATATGATTGCAAAGTTTGTAGTTTAATATCCCATGACCTCACTATTATTGAATTTGCATTACCAAGCCTTAGAGCATTTTGCTGAATAACAGGACTTTCAAACTTTCTATTGTTTTAAGCTGCTGCCAGTGAATCTTCTAATTGCTTAAATGATCTTTATTTATTTTATTTATTTTATTTTGTCAAGCTAACAGGTATAAGTATAAACATAGTTATGAATACATGAAATGGATACGAATAAGAAAAAAAAGAAACAATAGGACAGGGACGGTAGGCACGTTGGTGCGCTTATGCACGCCCCCTACAGACCTCTTAGGAAAGGGGTGAGGTCAATAGTAGACAGTATAAGGTTAAAGTTTTTGGGGTTTAGAGAAGAAACCACAGAGTCAGGTAGAATATTCCACTCTGTTGCTGCAGTCGTATTTCCTGCAATCAGGTTTGGTGCAGTTTACCTTGAGTTTGTATCTATTGTGTGCTCTTGTATTGTTATGGTTGAAGCTGAAGTATTAATTGACAGGTACTGTACTTATGTACTATATGTACATTTTGACCATTTGTTGTCTGTTTGATAGGAATGCTTCTATCCAGTTATGCAGGTGTCCAGAGATACCATAAGATTTTAGTTTTAGGATTTTTAGTTTGTCATGTACCACTGAATCAAAGGTTTTACAGAAGTCTATGTAGATTGCGTCTATTGTTTTGCCCTGATCGAGTTGTGTAGTCCATATGTTTTTGCAGTGTAAGAGTTGCAGATTACAGGATAGTTTTTTTCTGAAACCAAATTGTTTATTGAAGAGTAGGTTGTTTGTCTCTAAGTGGAGGATGATGGATTGGTTAATAATTGATTCCATGACTTTACAGGTGACGCAGCATAAAGAGATTGGTCTGTAATTTTCAACTAGGCTGAAAATTCTCCCTTTTCTAGGTCTCCCTTTTTGAAGATGGGGATGACCGTGGCTTGTGACCATAGGTTTGGCAAGGAGCTGGTCCTGAAATATTTTGCAAAGATTATGCATAGAAGCAGGGAGGGGGTTCAATTTTTTTAACAACCAGTTCTGTGGGCATGGCTTAGTTGGTGGGCATGGCTTGGTGGTTATGTGACTGGATGGACGTGGCTTGGTGGTCATGTTATTGGCTGGGCGTGGCCAACTCAATATCACTCACACTGAGGCATGCATCTCCTCGCCTGGCCTCTCATGACTGTGGGGATTCTGCAACAGTCATAAGTCTGAAAAATGGTAATGTCGCTTTTTTCAGTGCCATTGTAACTTTGAACGGTCATCCCACACAAGCAAAGTACCAGCAAAGGAGGGGGAAAAAACTCCAGCGACCTAGTCTAGTCCTGCCAAGAATGTAATAAGGGTTAATGGAGAGGCAGTTTCTGTAAGCAACACCAGAATGTTTCCTTCCTGCCTTCCTTATAGGATTAGGCCAGTAATTTCTTCTGACAACCGGTTCTCCAAACTGCTTAGAATGTTAACAACTGGTTCTAGCGAATAGGTGCGAACTGGTAGAATCCCACCCCTGCTTAGAGGTTTGGCTATGGTAGTGGATAGCTTTTTTAAGAAGTAGGCACATATTCCATCCGGTCCAATAGATAGAGATGGTTTTAGATTGCGTAGTGCTTTTTCAACATTATCTGCTTTAAAATCGATATATATTAGATTATTGTAGTTGTCTGTGGTTCGACTAGGAAATACTGGGCACGATCCATTGCTGTTTACAAATAGTGAGCCAAAGAATGTGTTAAAGAGGTTCGCTTTAATACTGTCGTCATTGCAGTCTTTACCATTAGGTCCTTTCAGGGGTGGGATGGACCTTGAGTCTTTTAGTTTGTTGTTTACAAAATTGTAGAAAGCACGGGTGGAATTGGTACGTAGGTTTTCCTCTTGTTTAATGTGATAATTGTGCATTCATTCTTTATCTAGTGACATAAAGTTTTGTCTCGGCTTTTGAAGTTGGCAATGTGACCAGATTTGTTTTTCCGCCAGTGATTTCTTTTTCGATTGAAGCTTCCTTGTTATTATGGGTAATTTGTTTTTTCTGGTTTTGGGAGTTGTTACTGGTACATATAGTTTGATGACTCTTCTGACTTCAAGTAAAAATATGTTGTAATGATCTTCAACAGTATTGCATCCAGTGAATAGAAGTTGCCAATCAAGAGATGAGAGATCGTTGTCTATAAGATCATAGTTGCCTTTTTTGAAGTTATAATTGGGGATCCCATCATAATGATTTTTGTGTAGATGTATGTTGAGACAAAAATCAATCATGTTGTGGTCACTGTTGGAAAAGGGTTCTTTAATTTGTATTCCATAAATTGAATTCAAACTATTGCAGAAGATGAGATTGAGGCAGTTGTTAAGTCTAGTATTGTTGATTACTATTGTTCCAGTCCCAGATTTGTTACAGCATTGTAGAAGGTTGCATGCGTGGGTTCAGTTTTACATTCGTTTAGGGTCCAGTTAATATGAGGTAGATTGAAGTCACAAAGAAAGATAAAAGCATGTGGGCAGGATGTTGCCCATGTTAGTAGTGAATTTAACTTGTTTACATGTTTGATGTCATTATCAGGGGCTCTGTAACATAGTAAGAATCGAAATGTGATATTTAAGGACAGTTCACAGACGATAGTCTCAGGAAGAGCAAGCTCCTGGGTAACTTGGATGTTTTTTAGATGTAGGGACTTTTTATAGAAGATAACACTACCACCTCCTCTACGGATTTCACGATCTGATAGGTAAACATGATAGTCTCTTACTGTGGTAATGGAGTCAGGGAGAGATGCATTGAGTCATGTTTCACAGACAAATATGAAGTTGAATTTAGCCGTATTTAGTAAGAGGAGAAATTCAGGTATTTTATTTACAAGGCTTGCATTGAGTAGCTTGCATTTAAGGCCAGTTGTAGTTGGAATACAGGTAGTTAGGGTCGGGCGGGCCTAGTTTTGAGTGATGGTGGGTTGGATGAGGTAGGGTTGGATGTGGAGTTTGGTACCAGTAACAGAAGAACAAATAGTATGTTGAATTCTGAAGAATGCTATCAGTCTATAAGTTTGTACTGGGTTACCCATTTGCTTTGCCCCAATGTAAAATATATATATATATGTTGTGATTCCGGCATCTGCTACAGGTTTTTTGAATGACAGCTCCA